TTACGACACTGAAAATATTTCACACGGTTTGAAAAAAATCCAAGCTTTTATGTACAGAATAACAAAATTTAAATTGTTTTTCACTGTCTTCGCATGAGTGTCGTCAGTCCTGTCCTTACCGTCGTGCTTCGGGTTAAGGAACGAGTTGCTCTGTAACTCATATTGGTTCCCAGCAGCAGGTGATACCGACCTGCAGTATTGCCGGACAAACTCTTACGCAGGCGGTGAATCGAAAGGAGCTTCAGCTAGAAGGGACCGAAATTATACTTCGAATGGCCTACAATGTGACATGCCCACTTCTGAACGTTTCTCATTGGTGTTCTAATTGCGCTTATTATAACTTGCTAACAAGGTCAAAGAACTAGGATTTGATAACCTTATATAACCTTATTACTCATGGAGGCCGAGGAGGCAAATATCTGCCCGGCCAAGACCATCTGATTAGGATGAGCCGACTTTGGTTTCAACGGAGTGCGGTCAACCGAAGGTGATATAACGAGAATGACCTATGACGTGCCATTTAAGCTTGAGCTCGGTTTCACCTCGGCATAATCAACTTCGGTCTATTACGCAACACTGGCAAAATGGTATTCCGTCAAGAAAAGCGTCTGACAACTTGAGTCTGCCCCACACTGTCAATCACTGGTTACGCCCGGAATCGAACCCAGGCTTCCAGACGCCGCGCTGACCATGACCCCGATTCTGACCCCGACCCTGGCACTGACCCAGACCCTGCCCCTGCCCCTGACCCAGATCCTGACCCTGATCCGACCCTGACCCTGGCCCCGACCCCTTCCCCGCCTTTGACCCTGGCCTTGGTCCCGACCCTGGCCTTATTAACTCTGGTCCCGCTTTTGACTCTGACCCCGACCCTGACCCCGACCCCGACCCTGATCCTGACCCCGACCCCACACCTGATCCTCACCCCGGCCCGGACCCTAACCATGACCCTGACCCTGACCCCGACCCCACACCTGACCTTCACCCCGACCCGGACCCCGCTTCTGACCCGGACCTGACCCTGACCGCGACCCTTCCCCCCGCAGCAGCTGCGCCGGTGCCGGGACCCGGCGTGCGACACGCACCTCTGGCGGGTGAAACACGAACTGCGGCTGGCCCAGGCGCGACTGGCCGAGCTGGAGCACCAGTGCAGCTCCCACGGCCTGAGCATCGCTGGCGCCGAGCCCGGCCGGGCTCGGCCTAACGACATCATGGACGGCGGCCAAGTGCGGCAGGGTACCCCCCTGTACCCCAGCGGAAGGGCGCCCTACTTGTACTCGAGGTACTGGCTCACCACCGGTCTGCGGGTGTGGTCTGCCGCGCGGTCTTGTAGAGGACCTTGCTGGTCTTCGGGTCTGCCTGCGCTGCTTTTTAGAAGCCAAGTTGCCATGCGCGCGCATTTATCCGCTTAAGCTAAACATTATATGACAACCATAGCGTTACCCCTGGTCAGCTGACCCGTGAAATAATCTTAACGAGATAAAGACTGGCCCTGTTCGAGCTAGAAACTGCAAGATTATGTCGGCATTTGTTCTGCCGGGCTGATGCTGTGATCCGTGTCCGGTTTCTAGCGTGATCTAGTTTCTAGCGTAGCGTGATCCGTGTCCGGCTTCTTTCGTCGTTTCGAATGCTGCGACCTTGACCCTGACCATCTTGCAACATGCCTTTGTCATCGTAGTCTCGCAACGTGCATTTGCTGCAACTCTGCACGAGCAAGGTCTAGTAGCGTGCCGTAACGGGTCCCAGGCCAAGCGCACTTTCCTCCAACCCAACCAGAATATCAGCCTCCTAGTCCCGCACTTTTCTGCTCTAACATATGCGTCGGTTAACGCCGGCCGTCGGTGGTCTTCATACTCTCGTCATCTGTCGGTCATCCTCTCGTCACTACGTCGTCTTGCATCGTATTGTCGTCATCTTATCGTCGTTATGTCAACACCACGCACGCTATGCTGTCATTATTCATCGTCCTGCTGTAGTCACGTTGTCGTTATCATGCCATCGGCTGTCGTCGCATCGTCGTCACCTCGTCATCATGTTGTCGTTGTTCGTCGCCCTGTCGTGACGTCGCCGTCCGTCTGCAGGCCGAGGTCAGAGGCCCGGGAGGTGGCGGAGCTCGAGACGGTGCTGTGAGCGGGCCGGTATGTTCAGAGACCCGCACTGAGCTCCTGAGGAGCGGTGGTCTTCAGACAGAGGCTCAGTCAGCCTTCCACGGCCTCGTGAAGAGCGGCGGACACCGGGCAGTGCCGCGACCTGACGACCGTGGGCCTCCCCAACGGCGGAGCGCACCCGGCGGCGGCGACAGCGGCGGCGGCGGCGGCGGCGGCGGCGGTGACGGTGACAGACATTGCAAGCCACCGCGTCCGGTTCGGCCCGACCTGACCCGCCGGTCACGTGCTCCGCTGTCCACCGGCCGGACGTGGCCACGTGACGCGGCACCGGCCGCTCAGACCACGCGTGCTGTGCGCGCCTCGGCCGCGGCGCCGGTGCCTCCGCCTCGGCCTCGGCTACCGGCTGGAGCGACGGCGAGTGCCGTCCCTTCCCTTCGCCGCCCGCAAGGGCGGGGCGTTCTGAGAGACCTCACACGTGGTGGTGACCTGCTGACCTGCTGGTCGTGACCTGCTGACCAGCGATCCGCTGGATGAGGGTCGTTGACCGGAGCTGATCGGGCGACCGAGCCGGAACTCCATGCGGACTCCTTCACCTTCCTCGCAGTGCTGGGAGGGGCTTGGAAGCTGTGCAGTGAGCGTTCGGGGAGTCTTTCACCCTATGCTTTTGCTCTTGCTTGGTTTAGAAATTGTGAGAGAAAAAAATTGTGTCAAGACATTTGTGTACGACTTTCACCTCAAGCATCAAGAGGAACCGGTTTTGCTTTGCGTTTTACCTGTCTGCAAGCTATGCGTTGTCAGATCACGCTGCGACGAACAATCCCGGTGGTGACGTATTCCTCGGGTTGTCTCTTGCCCGTCGTGAGACCCAGAAAAGCTGGACTAACCAGCGCCGCCTCAGCACACACGACGCCACTGCACTCACCACGACGCCGTCGGTGCTTGGCGGCTGTCACAATTTTTGTCAGTGACGTCACAAAGGGCAGTCAGTTACCGAACCAAGCGCGGAACATTGTCAGACGAGTGCCGTTGTGAAACATTCCTTGACCTTTCCTGTCTGATGTTACCGGGGACGGTCGTGCGTCGTCGCGCGTTACAGATGTTACGGGGAAGGCCGGTGCAGTGGTGTGAAACATGCTGATCGTGTCCTGTCAATAAACGGGTGCCGTGGATGACCCGCTCTGGGGCGCTGGCTGCAGCCGACGTGAGCCAGGGGTGCGTCCAACAGCTGGGCAAGCGTGTCGCGGTGGGACACCACCGGAAAGGCCAGAATTTTATCAGCGGACAGGTCTGATGATCTTCCCCCAAACAAAACCAGATCGCAGGACCCGGTTTTCGGATTCCGTTATGAATGTTTCATTGGTCTGGGGCCCAGGATCAGCCCTTTGGATCTAGGCGCATGTACCGACGCAACATCGTTGGTCCACACTTAGCACATGGCGCATCAGGGTAAACTAGGGAAAACGAGGCCGCTATTGAGATGTCAAGGTTGAAGCCTTCTCTCAAGGTTGAAGCGGACCCATGATACCAGAATGGGACGCACAATCGGGATGCAGGCAGGGGCACACGCCGCTCCTCACGTTCCGAGGGGCCAGAAGGGGCCCTGGATTCAAGGAACCAAATGTCGCGATGGACTGGTCGGAGGCTGCATTAAGGGACCCCGGCCCTGCGGGTGGGGCCCTTATGTGTCAATTAGAGGGTCTCTTGCGCCGATCGGGGGTCCCTGACAGGAGCATGGCCCCTGTGCCGGTTATACTCCACCAATGCCGAACGCTTGGCGCTGTGCCGGCCTGGGGCCCCATTTCTCGGGCAGGGAACAAGTGGGTTCCGCGATTACCAGCCAGAAGGTCCCTTGCACTGTTCTAGGCCCCTGGAATAATGAGGGGGAGGGTATTGTTTTGGTAAGGAGCCCACAGTGCCTGACAGAGGATCTTGTGTTGGTAGCGGGTCCAAGTTTGCCAAGGGCCATTTTCTTAAAAAGGGCAGGACCTTGAATACCAAAAGCACCTTTGCACTAGTCGGGGCCCTCTGACAGTGCAAGGAGATTTGATGAATAATAATGAAAGGGTCCTACGCCAGACGACAGACCCAGTGACGAGAGGACATGGCACTTCGCTGCGTCCCAACCAGAGCCCAATAGGCCAAACTGGGACCAATGTGCCCGTTTTTGGACCTCTTGTGGTAGTGATGGATCGTTACGTCAAAGAATGCCCCGAACGTAGATACACGATCAACTGCCCCAGTGAGAGTGCCTCTAGTATCAGGGAGCAGACCGCGACATCCATCTGCGACGCGACCCATCCCTCAGAGAGCTCCCGGATCGACCGATGGCCGCGGGCTTCCTTGTGGCTAAGGTACTCCAGGCTGAGGCGAAGAGCCCTTCAACCCCTGGCCGGAAAAGGTAATGGTGGGAGCGTAGTTCCTTGCAATGAGTTGGGGGCTTAACTGTAAAAAGCTACCCCGCCTGCCCCAAGATATGCTGCCAAATAGGATTCTCCCATGTTTTGGCCATTCTCTTCCCAAAGTTAAAAAGGGCTGAAACCCAAGTGTGTGGGGGGGGGGGGGGGGCTTAAGGCCACAGCCTCAGCTGAATAGGAAACTATACACTCCTCATAATGGACCTCTTAGTGTTCTGCCCGCGCTTAACACTATGTGCATGAAAGGCAGTGGACCTCCTCAGAGTTCAATTCACGGGACACTGAATGAACCCCCCCCCCCTCCCATCGCCGTAAATGGAAAGAAGAAACCGAAGAAAAATGTGGCCCTCGAAAAAGTAGACCAACTCCGGTGCTCTTTACTGGGCCAGTCAACCGAGGTCTTTTATCAAGCTCTATGACCTTCACCAAGACTCTGGCCGCGTGCTTCTTAGCATTTCATAGCTTACAAGGCCTTACCCATAGCGCTGCAGCCAGTTCAGTGCCCAAAGAGCCGGCGGACCATGCGCCCACGTGAACGCTTGTGTCATACCCTAACGCCATCCCGTGGAGTAAATGTAAGTGATACTTGTTTGTTTTCTCGGTAGATGCTGAGAAGAAACGCCCATCGGGCTAGCAGTGAAAACCAATTAAAAGGTGGTTCCCCAGCCTTTTTATGCCTTATGCAGTTATAAATGCAATCTAAAAATATATGTATACACGATTCTTTGTGCAAACTTTTGTGACATTGTGTATTTAGGACCGTTCACAAATATTCCAAATCCTATGATATATTCAGTAAAACGGCACTGTTGTGGTCCTTGAAAGCATCATGGCGGCGGTCATCCGTGGGTCGAGGACCGCGATTTGCCTGAAAAATGTGTTTTCCAGCACTGCTGCCAGAGGTCTTTCGGTAGCTGCGATATTACGTGGTAGTCAAATAATTGCCCATGTTCCAAGTAGTACCAACAATCTCCTCAGGCAGCACAGGCGGGTAAGAAGGGACAGCTGACGTCTATGGCGCTATTGTTGCAATAACGATGCCGAGTGGGACGAATAAGAAAAGGTGGATAGTATGATAAAACTCTGCAATAACCTTTGCTAACTATTTCACAACTCCATACACTACCATAGCTTACTTAAAGTTCTGAACATTTTGCTCAGTCATACAGCATGATATTGTGCTATTGTCACACTAATGATTCATTTAAGTACAGAACTGCGCATCCTCACAAAAGGTGTGCCTGTCTTGTCAAGTAGTCATCATCTGAAGCGATATTCATATTGTTCTTGCATGGCAAATTTGCTCAGTAGATTACAATATGTGCCACTTTGCTGTGATTTGCGTAGGGTCGACAGCAAATCGTAGTTGGGTTGGCTGGCCATACAGTTCCCCAGCACCAAGTAATATCTGTTTGCTCATCTCCAAGTTACACATTCTCAGTTGTACTGGTGAGAGCATGTCTGCAGACATTGTCTGGATTCTTTGCTGAGGACAGTTTGCCAGTACGTGAAATGCAACCACTTAATGCAACCTCATGTTCAGGAGACAAGATCATAAATTTGAATGGTGAGTGATCTGTTATCAATTCTAGAGACTGCTCAAAACTGCAGTCAAAAATAGCTTCCTGTCCCAGGCATTGGTGTCTCGGCTTAGGTAACAAATCACTCTGATGTATTCATCTCTGGGATGCTGCTTAATAATTTGGTTAAGGTTGACACAATAGTGAGAATCACTATTCCAAGTACCTGCTGCACTAAATGTGAACTGATGCAAATGTTTTTTTTAATTATAGAATTCATTAGATGACAGTAAAAAGCTGTATAAGATATGTTTCAGTTATTTCCATTAAGACATTATCTTCACTTACAATATTTCAATTTTAATGCCCAGGAAATTCCTCTTCACTCATTTGTGCAGTGTATTGGCTGGTAACTGTATCTGCCCAGACTTTGTTTATATAAATGAGATGGTAAAGCACCACTGATCTTCAGTGGTCATTGCAGTCCAGGCAAACAGTTATGTTAATCATAGTATTTCAATTTTACACATGCCAGTGGGTGTATTAAAGAAGATAAATATTTGATGCCATACTTTTGTCAGTTTGTATCATGGATCTTGCATTTTGTCCTCATTAACTTAGTCTCTGAAAATATGAATCAAATATGGCTCATGGTTAGGATATCCAGGTGGAGCTCTGGCTGGATGTGGCCCATAGTCTTAAGAAGGGTGTCAGGGACACTGGAGCAGTTGTTGATCTGTAAGGAACATGCGACATTGTTGTGTTGGTTTTTTCTATTAACTATTATGAGAGTGATAGACTACTCAAGATGAAATGCACTAGTTTGTTTGACTGTATCAAAAATACAGCTGTTTTAATAATTCAGCTGTTCACTTAATCAACATTCCAAAATTGATCCAGTAGGGTTTGCAGGATGTAAACATAAATTCATGCTACCAGAATCCTTGCTCCCTGGTGGTCCCCACATGCAATTCATTGGCACTTATCTGTTGGCCTTTGACTCCGACCCTGACATCTGGCCTACTCAGCCCATTCGTCAAGCCAGACGTGCAGAGATACTGGTTTGACAGCCACCTGATTGAATGCTGATTGACTGATTTTGATCAATGGGAGGGGCCACAGACAGTGAGCCCAAAGCCATGGTGCTTCAGCAAGAAAAATATCAACATCTGTGCTACCTAGGCAGCCGAATATTGGAACACGGTGCCTGATCACGTGATTGCTACCATAGTTGTGCTTTTTTGTTGGCAGCTTGTTCAGGTCGCTGTTCGTCAGTATTTGATGACTGGCGTGACACACGAGTGTGCGCTGGGTACTGGGGTACTCCAAATCCTGACTTTCTATTGGTGACTCGTTCTGTTCGTGATCCTCCAGGCTCCAGCACCATTGGAATGCGGTTTGCAATGTGGTGGCATTCCCAAAGCAAAAGGTGACGTGCTGAGCCGCTCCCTGTGTTGTGTTGCCAGAGTGAGCTGCAGACGCGGTTCTACTCGGCGAAAGACCCGCTCACCCTCGACATCATCCGCGACAGGGTACTGCTCGTGCTGAAGCTGTATGACAAGATCAACCCTGACAAGGTATGGACGGTTTTCGGTCGAAATCCCGCTCGGCGCTCGGCAAACTGTGCTGTCCACCCGAATGTCTGCCGGCCGAAACCCCGCTCGGCAAGCCTTGCTGTCCACCCAAATGTCTGCCGGCCGAAACCCCGCTCGGCAAGCTGTGCTGTCCACCCGAATGTCTGCCGGCCGAGACTCCACACGGCAAGCCGTGCTGTCCGCCCGAATGTCGGTCGGCCGAAACCCCGCTCGGCGCCCGGCAAGCCGTGCTGTCCACCCAAATGTCTGCCAGCCGAGACCCCGCTCGACGCCCGGCAAGTCGTGCTGTCCACCCGAATGTCTGTTGGCTGAAACCCGCTCGGCAAGTTGTACTGTCCACCCGAACGTCTTCCGGCCGAAACTCCGCCCGGCGCTCGGCAAGCCGCGCTGTCCACCCGAATGTCTGCTGGTCGAGACCCCGCTTGGCAAGCTGTACTTTCCATTCGAATGTCTGCCAGCCGAAACCCCGCTCGGCGCTCGGCAAGCCGTGCCGTCCACCCGAATGTCTGCCGGCCGAAACTCCGCTCGGTAAGCCGTGCTGGCGAGTCAAGTGGCCTCACGCGGTGGAACAGCGGGCTTGAGTAATTGCGAGGTTGCCAGACTCGCACCGGACTCGCTTTCACTCCCTGCAGGGCCCAACCCGCGCCTCCGATAAACAGTGGGCAAGAGTTATGGGGAGCCGGTCTCTGGGAGCGCCAGGCCACCACCGGCCGCGGAGCTGCGCTGAGGCCAACCGACCGGGCGACGTGGCGCCGACCGGCGACGGCTGGGTCCGCCGACGGCTGTATGACGACGGCGGGAATTCGAGCGCAATGTATTGCAGTGAACGTTAGCCTGTGCCACGGGCATGTGGTGATGGTGTGTGCTCCCGATCGCCACGTACTCCAGTGAACGGTAGTCACTGCCCGCTGACGCCCGTTTCTGCACGTGCCGCAGCTCACCGTCGACTCACACTTCATCAACGACCTGGGGTTGGACTCGCTGGACCACGTGGAGGTCATCATGACGATGGAGGATGAGTTCGGTACGTACGGTTCGTTTGGTCGTTGCTGGCGGGGGTATGCGGCGATGCGCGTGCCAAATGAAAGCAGAAGTCCAAAGACGGGTGTGTTGTGGGCGCAGAACATTAACAGCGGCCGCGGGCAGCCAAACGCGTGAGCTGCTACACCATGTCAGCGTCCCGATATAATGTAGGGTCACGCTTTCGCATCCCTCCTCCCTCCATGATCGTGATAAATCATAATCGAGTACGTCCGCCGCATCCCCGCGCGCCGGAGACTGGCAGTGACCGCTGGCCGCAGGCCGGTCGTGTGTTTTGCCTGCCGCGGCCCGTGTTCTGTTTCCTAGATGCGCGGAAGGACGTTTTTAGCTGGGGCGTGCGTGCTGTGACGGTCCCCTGCGCCTGTTTTGTGTTTGTTTCACTCTACGATAGAGAGAGCAACGAACTGTTTTTTTACGGGTAGTTTGATGGCATGGTACGCGTATGGATGATTATTGCGATTATTTGAGATAATTATTAGTAAGATGCAGATTTAGTCGTTGATCATTTGAACGCTGTGTCCATGTCACGAATTATTGAACTGACAAAGCGCTTACAGCGCTTTCACTTGACAATCATATGCGGCACCAATGGCCCATCAAATGTATCTGTGAAGACTTATATTTTCATGTAGTACGTGGTCTGGGTAAAATACGTATGGCACACGCCTGGTCGGCATGAGCTCGACCAGTTCGTATGAATGTGGAGCCTGTCGTGGGTCAGACACCGTGGCTGTTGCCCACCTGCACGGGCCGCACGCACCAGTGTCGGCCAGACCCGCCAGCGTGACGCTGGTCCTCCGGTGCGGCTGGGACCTGCCGTCGCGCGTGTCGCCCGCCAGCACGGCCAGTACGCTCCCGGGCAGTCCCCCCCCCCCGTGGTCCGTCACGCGGCTGCCGGTGTGACGATGTGACCGTGATCCCTGCCCCGCCCGCTCGGCCCGCCGCCGCGTGCTGACCGCGCGCCGCGCTACCGTCAGGGTTCGAAATTCCGGACATGGACGCCGAGAAGCTGATGCGACCGGCCGACATCGTGCGGTACGTGGCTGACAGGGAGGATATCTACGAGTAGTGGCGCGCGGCGGCGGTGTGCGGCGGCGCGCGCCACGCGCCCGGGCGCGCCGCGCCGCTCTTTTTGTGCATTGTTTCCTAGTGACGCGTATGGCTGGGTGTGAAATAAACGTGGGAGTATACTCAGCGGAATGTGCCTGACTGGGACGGAGGAGGCCGTGTGGTGTTGGCGGAGAGAGGTCTCTGGAGGATGCACGTGAGTTGTCGGTGCGTGAGACGCCGCGCAGTCTCGTGCACCAACGCGTCAACCCGCGAGCAGTCGCTCAGATTTGGGAAGTTTTTTCAGAGGACCTGCCCAGCACGGTTTTGCTGCTGTCGTGGCAGGCCGACGCAATCAACCGCCGCAGGCTGGTCGCAAGGACTGTTCTTTGTCGATTATTAAGCTCCACGCGCGGTATTATTACGTCCGTGTATTGTGTTATCTCCGCGCTGAAGGACCGCAGTGTACGGGACAGATGGGACATCCACGCATCAGTTCCTTGGCGTATTTCACGCGTTTTTAATGCCCCGTTTGGTATTCTTCAACCGCTGCGGCATTCATTACCGTTTTTGTCGTGTTTTTTTCATTTTATTATCCCGATCTGGCGTCGTCTGACGCCCAACTGGCCTGCTGGAGATAGCCTGGAGGCCTGATGTTTTGGGCTTGCTTCGAGCACACTGGGAACGAGATAGCCAAATAGCCAGCGACTTGTTCTCCGCACAGCATGTCGCGGGTAAATGGTGAACAAGCGATTTGCCTTGCGCTTTATTAAGGTACACTCCAATTTTATCACCAGTGGCACCTACAGCGATGGTACAACATTCGCGCAATGTATCCGCTGCGAGTGCTCCGCGCAGTGCGCTGATAGCGTAGTCGATAACGGTGTGCGTTAACCATTGCGCGTCTGGGAAACAAGAGGTACAGGGTTCGATTCCCCGCGACCTCCCTGCGGGGGTGAGAGGCGGGCGACGCCGTGTAACCTCAGCAGCTGAGCGCGTCGTAAAACCCCAATGCTGACGACAGACGCTCATGCACAGTACAGCAAAGCCGAACGGAAACTTTTAGGTCGAACCTAATTCATGAGAACAGTGCTGGCAAGTGGATGCTGCAATGCGTGCGAGTACGTCGATCCGGTAAGTACAAGCACTGCACGATATCCGACCAGACTCAATGCGCGGGAGCGAGGCAGCGTGACATCAAGTAATTAATCAGCCAATTTCAGCTCCCGACGCGATGATCAGCGTCAGGCCTGAAGCCTGTTTTACACTCGACAAGATCATCGTGGGTCGGGTACGGGGAAGCTAATCCCCACCAACCGGTCATTACTTCGCTCTTGACCTCTGAAGGTTGCTTCAACTAGCCCCAAAGCTAGGCTCCCAACTGCTTCCCGACTGTCTTGGTTTGGTGTTTGTTCACGACTGCGCCATACGTTTTCCGTGTTGCAGACGTAAACCGACGAAGTAGGTGCGCAGTTTGTCATCTACATTATTTAATGACATATTATATATATATATATATATATATATATATCGCTCTCTCGACACACCGTAGTCGATGTCTTTCGAGAAAGCCGCACGTTATGAAACTAGGCTCCGCGTGGCAAACGGATGGATTGTGTATGCCACCGAAAATTTTCAAACACCTTGGTAAGCGCAGGCATGACTTATTTTGATAATTTGTGGCTTTGGTACGCATCGACTATGCTGGCCACTTCGTATTATGAAAAACCCTAAAAACATAGTCTGCTTATGCGGTTACCCAAATGACGTTAAACCATCAAGTCACGTCAGTCTAAAGGGCGGGGGGGGGGGGGGGCGAGCGCCTTCATTCACGGATGCAGTTGCACTTGTATGGAACTATTTGGACAATGATGACTGCTGGATGCCTGTAAATCACGCTAAGCCATTGCTTGCTAAAAATGATAAGAGTTGCAACATGGAGGTTCTCCAACCAGCTGCGTAAGAGTTAGTTGCCCGGATGCATGCCCCTCTTACCGCATCGTAAACGACAGGGACCAACATTAGCTGGACCGTGAGCTGTTCGCCACAACTTTCGTGCGCTGGGGCACGCTGGCCAGCCAGGAGAAATGAGTGGGCTGCGTGCGCGTGGCCCAGCTTAAGCCTACAAAAAGAGATATTTTCCCACCTGCTCTTACGGTGTAACGTCGCCCACCCACAGATGAGGTTTTTCGGCTCCTTGCAGGCGCTACTCGAGGTTATGACCTTAATGGGTTCTAGTTCAAGTGTAGCAACAAGGCTGAACCGCGAGAGGTGGCTGAAGTTGGGAGTGCACCTGGGAATCGCCTCCCATATTTTCCCCGAGCTCATATTTCCTCTACGGTGGCATATGGCTGCAGGCTACCATATCGCTGAAAGCGCCGCAGCAGCGACGTAAAGAAAACTAGTAAGCAACTTCACTCAAGGCCGTTCTTTGCCTCATTGCGCGCATCACGAACTGTTCTGGGTTACAGAGACAGTTGACTGTCAATGTTCTGACCGTGAGTACCTGTGTGCGTGTGTGCAAGGTCGTGAGTGTGGTGGCTTGTATCTTGCAAAAAAACACACAATTTTATGTTCTGAAGTGGTTCTCATGTTTCACCGTGATACAGAGCATCATGCCAAATGTTTTGTCGTGCTTTGCCTTTCTTCCCAAAATGTGCAATGTTGCTTACGTAAAAACATTAGTGCTACGTTAAATTTCTTCTGTTTTTTTCTGATATGATGGTACCAAGTTGTGTTAAGAAAAGCTGCCGCTTAGCCGCAGCAAATGCAGAACAATAAATGTACTGTTATTGTTGTGCATTTTGTTCAGTTGACTACAGTAATGCAGTTGTTAAGCTAGAGGCACTGGTGTATTTCACCAATCCTGTTACTTATCAGACTCCTATTGGGCTTATTTAAAAACTGTGTCTTGCCTAAATGGTGGAGTACATAGAGGAGCACTTACCAACAAACTGACAGATCCAAGCTAGGATGTGCAATATTTAGGCTTGTCCTGCACATATAGCAAGTATTCTGCACAGATATCAAGTGGATCTTAGATGTTCCCAGTCCTAGAAATATATTCTTAGCTAATTGCTGGGGAACCGAATCCATCCACATCTTGTTTAGACCTAATGTGGGGTTTTGTTATTAATGAGATCATTGATCAGAAGGCTGATGATACACTGGTCAAAAATATGTATTATAGATATTTATTGTGCTCCTTTTATTTGTGAAAAGATGAAGTCTGCAACTCTGGCAAGCAAACACACTTCTAGGAGGAATACTAGCAGCCGGCATAGACCTTGGAACATTTCCCAGGAAATGGCTGTGAACACTTCCCAACAACTGCATGTGCAATGGCTCAGTGAGAACACAATATTGTTTCTTCCTCAGGAGTCCCTGGGGGCTTATGCATCATGCTTGCCATATTTTCCTTCTTTACAGCAAAATCCACCCATGGTGCTGACCTACTGGGAGCAGCCTTTTCCTGACCACTGTGAAGCACTTTTTATGGAAAAAAGCACATTTTGTGAGAGAACACATGATGTGCATCACCATGCACAACAGTGATATATTTTACCACCAAGCAGCCATGGTGCAACTGGGATTTGAACCTTTTCTCCCCCACCACATGGGTTCCAGTGGGTCTGCCCGGTTAGCCACCACACCATCCAACATAGAGCCCATGTGACCAGTGCATCAGAAATATATTCAGAGCACGTGGTCAGATATTGTCTGGAGATCGAGAGCAGATAGCATTGACGTATCAAGGAGTAAGTGAGTAAGTGAGTAACACACAGCCCTTGTAAGTGCTGTGTGTTGCCTTGGTCGGCGATGTGCTAAGCCATTGGTGCTCAGTGGGCTGATTGTTGGTTAATACAGAGCTCCTACACAGGCGGCTGATCCAGGCTTCTCGCATAACCCTCGCCATCTTTTGCCAATCAGCCATGTGCTGGCTGGTGCAGGTAGTCCGCATCTGACCAATACAGAGGGCACAGTTCACTGACTGTTAGATGGCTGCCTGCTGTTGGCAGCATCATGAACGCAATGTATGACGGCGCCCGCGGCGGCTTACTGGGGGGGGGGGGGGGGCAGGCCCTTGCTCTCACTGGGCCAGTGGCGGCCAGTGTTTGCAGTCCAACTGATCGACTGCCAACTCGCTCGCGATTGGCGGACGCTCCGTGGACCTGAGGCTTTGTGCTGTTAAAGTAAATGTCTAAAATGCAAAGCTCCCCCAGTTGGTACTTATCTGTTAAGTTAGTGACTATTCAGTTGTGTATCATGCATCAGCCGTCGGCCCTCTGCACCCATCAGTTTGTGGGCTAAAGAGGTACAGCACACTTTCTTTGAGGCGCTCAATGGCAGGTTGTGAAGTTAAAGGACACATCGGGAACGTGCGTTTATGATAGCTATGAAGATGTCTAGAAACCATGGTTTTTGCCGGACGAGTAATCACGTGAACCATCGTGGAAAACGGACATCGAAGCCCGGATCCCTGTGGCTGATGACCATTGACCGCCGTGAATGCTGAAGTCGTGAAGGACCGTAGAGAGTACTGCATTTCCCCATGTTCATGGTTACTTTACATAGGTGGTGACCCACTAACACTGATATGCATAATACAGAGCAGTGGTCTCCATTTCGCACTCCTTCCACGTGTCACGTTCGTACCACCACCAAACGCCATAAAGTCATCTCTTGCCTTCGTCACATCTGCGTCGCCCTCGCCCACCCGTGTGCACGATCTGGCGCTCCGCGGGCTAACCAAGCACTATCATCCGCTGTAACGGTGCGTGCCGCCGCAGTCTGCTCTTCGGTGATGGAGGAGTCGGTGGTGGACGCGGCGTCGCTGCCGCGCTGGCAGGAGCTGGCGCCCTCTCGGCCCTCCGTGGAGCGCTACTCGGCGCCGCGCCACGAAAGCAGCCCCTTTCCCTGCCGGCCCGACATCAACCAGGTGGTGGCTGTCTGGTGAGTCGACGCGGACGACGTCCGGCGGCCAACAGACAAACAAACATGTCTCCCCTTTGAACCATACGACGCCGGAAACGCGTGGCAATGACCGTGCCGCTGCCGGCAGGCCTCGCAGCTGTGTGTACATAAAGCACCCCGATCCCAAAAATGGCCCAGATTTTTTTGCGATTTTTTTCACCGCGAGACCCTTGCTACGGATCCTGACACGCGCCTGGATGCCAAACGTTCAGCTCGATCCTCGTAAGAGCTCTTAGGGGCCCCGGTCCGACCCTCGGGGGAGTCCTCAGAAGCCCAGTCCGACCCCCGCGGAAGCCCTCAGGAACCCAGCCTTCGGAGGACCTCCGGAGGAGCCCCGTGAGGACCCCAGCCCGACCCCCGGAGGAGCCCTCAGGAGCCCAGTCGACCCCCGTAGGAGCCCCCAGGAGCCCAGCCCGACCCCCACAGGAGCCCCCTGAGGACCCAGCTCGACCCCCGTAGGAGCCCTCAGGAGCCCAGCCCGACCTCCGGAGGAGCCCCCAGGAGCCCAGCCCGACCCCCGTGGAAGCCTGGACACCGATCCGTTGGGGTAGGAGCGCCTAGAAACCGACCGGTATCCCCAGCTCGGTGTTCGGTATCCAGACGCCGGCGCCCGCCCGTCTGACGGAGCGTGTGCCGCGTGCCGCAGGTACGGCCGCCTGTGCCAGCTGAACACCTCGTGCGTGGTGGTGTCGTCCGACGAGCGGGACAGCGGCGCCAGTCCGGTGTGTCGCCACCTGATGGAGCGGGCCGGTCCCGAGATGGCCGCGGAGCTGCGGCGCTCACGAACCCGTCAGTGTGCGCAGCGCGACAGGCATGCGCAACTCAACAATTATACACAACACAACAAACGGCAGAATACACGAACCCGCCAGTATGCACAGCACGCCCGTCATACTCAACATAGCAATTAGACACAACACAACAAACGGCAGTATACACGAACCCGCCAGTATGCACAGCACGACAGTCATACGCAACACAACAATAAGACACAACACAACAAACGTCAGTATACACGAACCCGTCAGTATGCACAGAACGACAGTCATACGCAACACAACAATTAGACACAACACAACAAACGTCAGTGTACACGAACCTGTCGGTATACACAGCACAACAGTCATACACAACACAATTAGACACAACACAACAAATATACACAACACAACAACTACACGATACAAAACATATGCGCAATGTGGCTACGCGATACAACAACTATGCACAAGAAAACAACTTTACACCGCACAACAACTATACAATATAGCAACTATTCACCGCACAACAGCTACACAATACAAACTAAAACATGACTCAACTACACAATATAACATATAAACACAACTTAACTACACCGTAGAATAACTATACACTACGCGACAACTACGTATTACAACAACCATACACAACACAACAAATAAGGTTTCATTTGTTGTATTTCAATGCATTTTTATTTGTTTTGCGTGGTGGCTGGCGCGAGTTTTCAACTATGTGTCCGATGCAAGGTTTTTAGTCAAATGATGTTTTGACGCTTTTACATGAAATTCGGTCTTTCGCGTTTGTTGCTGAAGTGGTATTGGGTCGGGAGTTCTCGCTAAGCAAAGGTTGCAGCGTAGATAAAAGCGCCACCGCCGGAACCGTACTAGCTTTAGTGCCATTTTGCCCAGACATGTTTGCGAAATGGTCCTGGGGTCTTTAATGAGCCGCACAATGGCACGAAACGGCCGCCAGCAAAGCAGGTTACATAGCCGGTAGCATGGCTTAAGTCCAGCGACGGCACCGGTCGGTAGAGGCGCGTCAGCCTAAGACATGTGCTTCGCAGCCCAAAAAAGATCCCAGGATCTGATCCCAAGATCGTATTACCATAAACCCCCAATGAACCCTTGGCCTACCCGTGGGATCCGCGCAATCCACGCAGAGCACATGGCTGGCAGGCAGCCTGGCTGCAGCTGTCGACGGATGTAACTAGAGCAGGCACTGTTTACCGTACTGTTTGTATACTGTTGCGGTGTCGGTCACTGTGGCAGAGTCAGTGATTAGCGCCGGGCCAGGCAGCAAAACACATAGACCGCCCAGCTTCACTAACCATCGGAGGCGAGCGGCCGTTTGTCTGCTCGGCCCAGTTTTACGGTTAACATCAGTGACAGCGCAAACAAGTCTGCCTCGCCGGGGTCGTTACGTCCTGAACTTCGCTTGCGCGATGGGTCTTGCGACCGAGACCGGGTGTCGCACTGCAGCTGCTGCTCAGTGCTGCCTGCCGTTTCAGGGCGAGATGACAACAAAATGTGGTGGCACTGGCTAGAGTCGACTCAAAAGATGATTCTAAAAATCGCTTCTGATTGCCACCACGATTGTCTTCCTGAGTTTGGCCGCTTGTTGCCGCTATTTCACCGCACTGCCGCGTTCGAACAAACCAGCGTAGTCTTTATCCAACCGCACTGTGACAAGTGACCTGACCTGACCTGACCTGACCTGACCTTACTTGACCTTACTCAAACCCGCCAGGCCTGCCGACGGGCGAGGCCCGGCTGACCAAGGGCTACAACCTGCCGGCCCGCTTCGTCATCCACACGTCCACGCCGCGCTACAACCGACGCTACAGGACGGCCGCCGAGAGCACTCTTCACGCTTGCTATAGGTGAGCCGGCGCCGGCGGCTGACACAGCGTCGGGAGGCGCCGGCACGAGCCGCAGCACGAGCACCGCGTCAGATTCCCGCAAGCCAAGCCGGAAGACGGCATGCTTGCGCGGTCTCGCCGGCTCAGAGGATGAACGCTGGTCTTGTTTGGAGGATGTGCGCGGTGTTTGTCTTTAGAGTTCGTTGGTGTGAGGCGATGTTCGTTACTTGCGGTATTTTCTGATGTTTTTTGCCCGTATCTCGTCAGTGTGCGCGAGTTTGCTTGCGTGCGCGATGTTATAGATGGCGCTAGCGACATTTATGTTTGGTGCACCATGTGTTGTCTGCCCTTGTATTTTGTTGTCGGCGTCTGTAGTTGTGGTGCCGGACAATTATTGGCTTTTAGCTTCTGTGCCTTCCACCCATTATGTCGATATGTTCCATGATAATGGATCTGTAAGCTGGTAATGATTTGCCCTTGGCTACTTTTCTGTGGCGCCGTTTTCGATGAGCATTTCCTGTTGACAGTGACACTGGAAAACCCGTAATTTGACAAATGTATCTGTGATCAGACAGCGCACTTCTTACGTAATCCCTGCATGCGACAATCATCATATGCCAATTAATGAACACTGACAAAGGCTAAGATGACCCCGCCTGTCGAGCGCCCCTAAACCAAAATATCACCATCGGCATGCACACTCCCTTGTTTCATGCACAGCAAGTCGCACACTGGCATTGTGTTGTTGCTTGGTTCCCTGCCTAAACATACATTCTGTATGCGTCTGCGTATCTGTGGGTACTGTCTCTGTTGGCCTGTGCTCTGTGCCCCCTCGCTTCCGTCCGTTCGCCGTGCGTCCGTGCCGCTCTTCTGCCCGTCCGCTGTGCGTCCGTGGCGCTCCTCCGTCCGTATGTCTGTGTCGCTCCTCAGTCCGTCCGCCGTGCGTCTGTGTCACTCCTCCGTTCGCCGTGCGTCTGTGTCGCTCATCCGTCCGTCCGCCGTGCGTTTGCCTCACTTCCCCGTCCGCCGTGCGCCTGTGTCGCTCCTCCGTCCGCCGTGCGTTTGTGCCGCTTCCCCGTCCGCTGTGCGTCTGTGGCGCTCCTCCGTCCGTATCTCTGTGTCGCTCCTCAGTCCGTCCGTCGTGCGTCTGTGTCACTCCTCCGTTCGCCGTGCGTTTATGTCGCTTCCCCGTCCGCCGTGCGTCTGTGTCGCTCCTCCGTCCGCCGTGCGTCTGTGTCGCTCCTCCGTTCGCCGTCGGCGTCGGCTCGCCGCCGCCGCGCCGGCATCGATCCCGCCCGGCGGCCGCACGATGACGTAAGGTCGCGCGGTTCCCGTGTCGATTATCCACCGGCGGGGGGCGGCTCCGGTCCGCGGCACCCGGCCCGCCCGACGGCCACGCTCCTCGGTGGCGGCGGCCCGGCCGGCGGACGCGTTCGGCGGCGCCCGTGCCGCGCGGACGGCGTGGCGTCGGCGGACGCGGTGTACCGGCGCTGAGCCGCTGCGGCGTGGTCGGCCGACGCGGAGTGTCTGTGCTCCCTGCTCGCGAGGTCTGGTGCGGCAGCTGCTGTGACGCTTTCAGCGGACGCCTGCGTGAGTTGCTGTGGTCTTCAGCGGTGCTGTCTTGTCAGCCGAAACGTATCCGTGCTCCTGTTCTGTGCCAAGGATGTGCTACGTCCGTAGTACTACCGAGTGACGGTGTAACACTTTCGGCCTGTGCGGGCTCCTGCGCTCTGCACCCACTGTCGTACGATCGACCGAGGCAGGCCCGTGTTGTCGTGTTCCGTCAGGCGGGTGGTGCAGTGGGGAACCTCCGCCAGGCGCCCCGCATGCGTGTGCGTGTGAATTCCGTTTGGCTGCGTCGGCCTTGCCTTGTTTGTTTCAGTGAGAGCGGTCGCTAACGTAGCTCCACCGGCTAGCGCGCCTGTGCGGTGCCGTGCTCAGTTGTGGACAGCCTGATTGGCAGCAATATAGGCGCGTGCTGGGTTTGCTCAGGTAGCATTGATACTTAGCGGTAGAATAACAAGTTTTCGAACGCGGGGGTGTGGGTTCGAGTCTTGCCGCGAGCTGTGTTGTGACGCTCTCCGCCGGAATCGGCGTGACGCGGATCGTGACGCGCATTGCCTCAGTTCTTAAACCCGTCACAGCACAGCCTCCTGTGACGCGTGTTCAAGTGTGCTGCCACAGAGCGCCGCGGATGCCGCACTGCTGTCGACTCATCCCCGTACAGGCTGCCTTGTTCTGCATTTCTGGGAGCTGGTGGAGCGAGCAGACTTAGAGGGCACCGGCGGCGGTCTCGCGTGTCGTCCGTACGCTGCTGGGTGCCCGCGAGGCGTACTTGTGCCTGGCCCCGCTCTTGTTGAATCGATCCCGACCGCGATTCGCAACGCATTAGGGTGATCCAAACGCTGATTAAGAAGAGCACAGCGGAATTTGGCATTAAGTTTGAGTTTGGTTCAGTAGATCTGATTCGAATCTGGTTTTTCCGATAAAGTTATTTACATTCAGTTAACGCGAAAGTGGTGCTATTTACTTTATATATATATATATATATATATATATATATATATATATATATATATATATATGCAAGGTCCGTCCGAAAAAAGAATATCGGCTGTTATGTTTCCGTTCCAGTTGCCTCATCCTTTGGTTCAACTCTGACTCCGCTGTGCCCATATTGCTGAGGAATCGTATTCTGACTGAGCGAAATTCAGTGTCTGAGCCCATCAAACCACACTGTGATTCGAGCTCAAGCCCGCACGGAGGTAGCAAAGGACGTTGGAGCTGTGGTACACTAGCCAGGGGGGGGGAGGGCTGCAGCCAGTGCGGTCCTGTCTCCTGACCGTCGTGCCTGTGCTCTCTTCCTCCCTTCCCAAGGGAGTTGCCACGACCTGCGCAGCTGTGTTGTCTCAGTCGTGTGTCCGTGCTCCTCTCCGCCAGGGGAGGTCCGCAGCCTACGCAGCTCTGTCTCCGGACCCGCCCAAGTGCGCAGCTCTGTCTCCTGACTCGCCCAAGTGCGCAGCTCTGACTCCTGACTCGCTAACCTGCGCAGCTCTGTCTCCTGGCCCGCTGGTCTGCGCGGCGCGGACTCCCGACTCGCCCGCCCGCGCAGCTCTGTCTGCTGACCCGCCCGCCCGCGCAGCTCTGTCTCCTGGCCTGCCCGCCCGCGCAACTCTGTCTCCTGACCTGCCCTCCCGCGCAGCCCTGTCTCCAGACCCGTCCGCCCGTGCAGCTCTGTCTCCTGACCCGTCCGCCCGCGCAGCTCTGTCTCCTAACCCGTCCGCCCGCGCAGCTCTGTCTCCTGTCCCGCCCGTCTGCGCAGCTCTGTCTCCTAACCCGCCCGCCCGCGCTCTCCTCCAGGGAGGTGCTGCAGCTGGTGAATGAGCGCCGCCTGGCCAGCGTTGCGCTGCCCTGCCTGCACTCGGCCCGGCGCGAGTTCCCGCCCGACGCCGGCGCGCACATCGCCCTCCGTGAGTCGCAGCGCCACGTGCTGGCTCGTGCCGCGCGGCCACCCACGTGCCGACACACGACACGGGTATCGGGCGGTGTGCATGCTACGCGTGGCCGTCATATGGCGGTGACTTTTTAGGAGCCTGATGCACCGGTGCACGCTTGGGTTCCCGGAGACCGCCGACTGCCGTGTGCGGAAGTATTTGTCGCGGTTGCGTCGAATTTGTATCAGAACTGACGCGATTTTAGTACGCTGGTGATCTGCCAGAATCGTAATTCGGCTTGCGTTGCAGGTGGTAGTGCAATGCCATTATCAGTTTCCTTTTGGGGTCTAAGTGTAAGTCCCCTAGCTACGAACATTTAAAATCGCATGATTACATGGCAGACATGGCAGCGAGAATATGCAAAACGTAGCTTAGCGAATGTCACCACGAAATCTGTCGTCGTCATGGCTGTCGTTGCTAAGGGTACCAGCGTGTTGCATGCGTTTCACCAACGACTGTGGGATCGTTAACCATAGGCGACGGTACCGTTAGAGTGTTGTTTGTCACACTGGGGATTTTTCGATGTCACGCAATCAACAGGCCGGGCCATAGAAGCCGTTCCGTAGTTCCGACCACTTTGGGGGCATAACCATTCTCCACAGAGTCGTGTTTCCCAGACACTGAAAGCCGACGCCTTTCCATGCCTGCAGCCAATTGTTTTTAGAATGTAATTGAATTTCTCGCCGCTCATACGGGAGCCCTCCCCGACGTACACGACTGTCGCCGGCCTCCGCGCCGAGCGCGGCGCTCAACTGCGGCTCTCTCGGCAGTCCCTGAGAGCTGACACGACTCCGTAGTACCGCCCGCTGCGAGGGAACTCGGGTGTGGGGAGGGAGGGGGCAGTTCTCCGAGAAAACCGAGCGTGGTGGTCGGAGCCGCTGATCCGTGAAGCCCCGCGGGCCGCCGCCGGGAAGCTGTGTGACGGCGGCCCTCGCTGTCACCTCCGCCGACCGCGGTGTCCGCGCTCCGAGACGACGGCAGGCTTCCGACTCCGTGACCTCGTGACCTGCGATGACCTGACCTGAGACCCTATGACTTTCGATGGCCTAACCTGTGGCCTTATGACCTGCGACCTCATGGCGTACGATGACCTGACCTGCGACCTTATGGCCTGTGATGACCTAACCTGTGGCCTTATGACCTGCGACCTCGTGACCTGCGATGACCTGACCTGCGATCTTATGACCTGCGATGGCCTAATCTGTGGCCTTCTGACCTGCGACCTCATGACACACGATGACCTGACCTGCGACCTTATTACCTGCGATGACCTTACCTGCGGCCTTATGACCTGCGACCTCATGACCTGCGACCTCATGGCCTGCGACCCGGGGCGGCGCTCCATGTTGGGCTGCGACATGTCGGTGGGTTGTGACCAGCGAGCTCGTGGTGCCCTGTTGTGTTCGCTTCTGTAGTATCTCATCGTGTTCTGTGTGTTGCTGGGAAGCCTGATGCGGTGTTTGTTGCGAAACCGCGGTGTTCGTGTGTGGTTCGTTACCGTTTCAGCATGCGGGTCAGATGTTCCTTGTGAGACCTGACCTGGTTGTTGCCGTGGTGATCCTCGTGATGCACTCCTTTGTGACCGTGCTCCCTGTCACCTCGATGTTTCGCCGCCGTGTGGCTGGAGCCCCCTGCTGCGACGGCCGCTCTCGTCCTCCTGTCGCGAGCCCTGCCCCCGTACGTCGGCTGCTGGAGCCTCCCACGTGTGCTCCCCTGTCGCCGCCGCCGCTGGTGGTGGCCGCGCCTGTCCGTCGTGCGGCAGTGAGTGGGCCCGACTAGGCAGTAGCCTGCGGTGCCGCCGGCGAAGACCGAGGGGCCGGTCGGGTCACTGACAGTCAGTTACTGACGCGGCTCGCTTCACTGTGGCCAGCGAGGCAGTATGGCTCGGTTTGGCCCACAGACACTGAAGCGTTTAAATGGATAGAAGTTGAGAGATTGTTCCGCGGTCTCTACTCATGGCGTTGGTGAGATACAGATCATGACGGCTCGTGATTTATGATTATGAATTACAAACGTTCTTTCAAATCTGCCCGTCCCAATAGCCCCACCGACTTACAGCCTCAGCAGCTGAGTGAGTCGTTAAGTCTGAATGACAATGACCAGACACGGCTGAGACCGGTTCGCACTGGTCGAGTCTGACTCATGCTGGACTGTACTGTTCTCTGTCCCTGTGGACCTGGCGGATGTCCCTACCTCTCTTCCGACCTCACCTGGCGCTTGCTGATGTCGTGACCTGGGATGAGAGCCCGTCGTGACCTCCGACATCCGCTGACCCCTACTCTAACCTCTAGCCCCTGCTCTAACCTCCTTGGGCCGCTGCTCTGACCTCCTCTAACCTCTGGTCCCTGCTCTAACCTCCTTTGGCCCCTGCTCTAACCTCCTCTGGCCCTTCCTCTAACCTCCTCTGACCCCTGCTCTAGCCTCTGACCCCTGCTCTAGCCTCTGGCCCTTGCTCGAACCTCCTCTGACCCCTACTCTAACCTCCTCTGGCCTCTGCTCGAACCTCCGCTGAATCCCGCCCTAACCTCCGCGGAGCCCCACTCTGACCTCCTCTGACCCCTTGTTTTTACCTCCTGTGACCCCTGCTCTAACCTTCTCTGGCCCCCGCTCCTACCTCCGTTGACCTCCGCTCTGAATTCCACCGACCCCAGCGCTAGCTTCCGCTGACCTCACTCTGACCTCCGCTGGTCCCCGCTCAAGCATCCGCTGACCCCTGGCCCCCCTCCCGCAGGTACGGTGCGGCGCTACCTGGAGCGCTTCGCCTGCGCCGACACCCTGGTCGTACTGGTGCCGGACGTCATGGACGCCGGCATATACGAGGTGCTGATGCCGCTGTACTTCCCGCGGAGCCCCGAGGAGCAGCAGTACGCCAGGTTCCAGCTGCCGGTGAGGAGCGCTCAGGCGCGCCGGGGGCGATGCGGGAGGGATGGGCGCGCCGCCCACGGTTTCAGGGCTCGTGTGTTTGTATGAAGGCATGAACGAGCCAGATCGTGACGTCATAGTGTCTTCAGGGCTCCAGTGCGGTGTCGGAGTGGTAGGGCTAAGTGGGGAAGACTGATCCCATCGCTAAGCAAACAAATAATTTCGCAAATGGGCCGGCGTCTGTTTTTTTTTTGGGGGGGGGGGGCGGTAAGAGCAGTTACCTGCGCTGTGAAAGCACCATAATTGGTTCCTGAGGTTTCTCGGCTCCTTTCAAGACATTCCTGCTGTTTAGTTGTACCTGTTACTGTGTCTTGTTACGGCCCTCTAGAAGCTACACAAGACTGATTCGGGTTTGCTATTAAAGAGACCATTTCCTTGATATGATAATGCGATGCAGGTAACCTTGTAAGTTGGTACTGATTATATTAGGTGTGTTTTGAGGATGTGGCGACAGTGAGTTATGCCCGCTAGATATGTTTCCTTGCAAAGACCATAGCAGCTGTGCTGATTACCAAACGTGAGCGCGCTGAACCCTCTTTAACATCTGTTGAGTGACGTCTGTTGAGTAGTGCCCTTATGCATACGGTCCATGCAGGGCCATGAAATGAACACGTGAGGGGGGTATTTGCCATCGGTGTGTGACACAGTTCTCTTCCTATACACCAAGTCCTCTGCAAGACCACGCAATGCCGCGCACGCCTGAGCGCGAGCATGAGCACGTAGGCGGTTATTTTGATTAGTGAGCGGTGCAGGTGTGATTGATCGAAATCATACTAGACCCCTACGTTCTGAGCAGAGCACTCGCAGCACGCACGCGAAAAAAATGCGCAACAACGCGCATCTTTGGACGGCTCGCGAACCTCACGTAGCGGCACTACTTCAAGCTAGGCATGATCGACTTTTACGGCACGATCTACAGCGGCCGACGACTCGAATAACCCTCCCGCGATGAGCGAGGCCGCCCGGCCTAGCGACAGCGGCGGCGGGGCGGGGCAAAGGTCAAGGTCACCGGGTGCGGCTGGGTCGACGCCTACCCGCCCGGCGCTCCTGGTCCCGGGTTATTTCAGGAATAGCTGTTCCATGAGTGCCCACGGGCGGCGAGAAATTCCCAGGACAAATTCACGGCGACGGGGCTGTCACGAGGGATGGCGTCTTAGTCCAGGTTCCTAATAGCGACTTTAAGTGCCAGTGGTGTAAGTGGTGTCTAATAAGTTTCACTACTAAGTGGTGTCTGTACCGCATGTCCGTAAGTTATTGATGCTTCATGTGATATTGGTGTGATGCTGGCGTATGTCGAAAAAGGCGTGGCGTACACATGGTAAGATCCATGCCCTCCTTCTCCATATTTCACCTTTCTTAGCACCAGGCGTTCGCTCCATGTTGCAAGAATTCCGTGCAGTTTTGGCTTCATTGCGGCTCCCTATGCGATGCTATACTTCGAATATGTGGTAGTGATACTTCAAATGTGGCCCCGTAGTGATACTTCAAATATGACCGGGGTTTTGGAAAAGCGGTTGTCGTCTTGTACGGGACACAAAGTAAGTGTGGGAAGTTTCTTTGCTATACCGAACCCTCGTGCCGAACTGGTGACGTGCCCTAAGATGTGACGTCACAGGCCGATGGTCCTCCGCCGGCTTTGTGACTTCACTAACATGTGTTCTGTGTTTGAGAAAAGAACGCCGCGTAAGGCAGCAAATGCCACGTAGGCGCATCGTGCTCCCCATTGTGAAGCACATCGAGTACTGGCAGCTTATTCGTCGTTTTGGTAGTGCGACGTCAAAGGTGTTAATTCAGAACTGAGATGGATATGTTTCAGTGAATCGTTCCCAAACCCCAAAACGCTGACCCTGTAAGGATTCGATAAATACGCAAACGATGTTTAGTTACGACTGACAGACGTGAACCTAACCCGCTGAAAAAACACCCTGTGAATTCGTAATTAATGTCGAAACATTTGCTTCACTCTTCTCCTCCACTTGATGTGCTGCACATCTGTCGTCGCCATTTTAGACCGTAATTGAAAGGCTCAGCCATTTGACCGCGGTCAGTGTGACGGTGGGCGGGCGTTGCTCGCCATGCCGCCGGTCCTACTGCGAAGGCCTGGTCGGACAGCCGCCCCGTGCCGGTCTCAAAAATCGGTCCGCCGGATCTGTGGATCGATGGAGCCGATCCGCCGCCGGCCCGGTCGATCCGGCCGCTGCCGTCGGATCGACCGGGCCAGCAGCCGCCGAAAACGTCTGGTGGCTCCTGGGGACGGGGGAGGGGGCGGGGGAAGGGCGCAGACGGCGCCGTCCCGTGGTGGGTACTGGAGAGAGGCCTCCTAGCGCGCGTGTGCAGGCTCCCGGACAGATGCGGTGTTGGTGGTCGGTGCGGACGTCAGCGAAGTTCTCACAGTGGTCGTGGTCCGCGTGCAGCGCGTGTGACGTTCGTGACGTGTCGCCGATAACCGGGGTATACTGGCGGCACGCTCGGCGCATTCATCAAATGAGGGGTCGTTCATAAATGACGTTATGCAGTTTGGCCTATTTCCTCCTCCTCCCTGGTTACACACTGATTGGGCTGGGCGAAAGCCCCCCCCCCCCCCCTCCCCTTGGTTGCGCTATGTTATACGCGCCCGGATGGCCGGTTGAATACCCTTCGCTCGTGGGGGGGGGAGGGGGGTCAATTAGCCCACGCCCTGAGGTCCCAAAAAAACTCTAAAAAATAAGGTGGCTAGAGACACCAAATTCAAAAGGTGGGTTGGCCTGCACGTGAACTCACTTGTGTCAAAATGTAAGGTACCTAGGTCGTAATTTCGGGGTCAGATAGGGTCAAACAAGGTCAAACTCCAGATTGGTGTCCAAAGTGCCCCCAGACCTCCTCACGCAACCGCCCATGAACCCAGATACCTGTTCCAGGCAAAAGGTTGATGGTGTTCAATTAAGACCAGTGGCCTTAGTATGTCATGGTGGCCAAAAACCTGCGAGATGGCTCCTATTTTGCCATTTCAATAAGGGTCAGGAATTACACTAGGCGGTAAAAACAAAATGTTGACCTGGGTCATTTAAGGTCAGTGACCTACTCTGACCCCCAGGAAGTCCATGGAACTTGTCTGTTGTTATCCGTGTCATTCATAAATTCGAATTGAGCACCCGAAACTGCCCCTTAAATTAGCTGTCGAGTTAAAACCACGTTAATTTTGACCATGTTCTGACCTCCATATCTGACTCTAGGTCAATGGAATTTGTTGTGATTATGCTATCAATTGGTTTGTTCCCCAAGAAGCGATTTCGGAGGTGCTTTGTTCAGTACTCCGTTGCCGTATCAGGTTGAACGATTCCCTAGAAATGACCTTCGCTGGCAGCCGCGGCCTGCCTTTGACCTGCCACAGGTCAGTGACCTTGCAACGTATATCTGATTTGATACCAAAAGATCTTATATTCTTATATCTGATATTTAATTTCGTGCGCAAAGTTTGGGGCGGCTACGCCGGGCTGTTCGGAAATCATTTTGGAAAAAAAAACATGGGGGCGGCGGTCGAATTGGCCCCCACCGAGTGCGTATTAAGTGTAGCATCATCTAAAGGTAGCATCCGTTTGTCCCCTTGTTTGGCTAAAGGTGCGAAACTAACACGGGTGGAATGTTTGTCATGAGAGGAAACCAAGGATATCCGGTTTGAAGGTTTTAAACTTTGTTTTGGACATTTGAACATTTGAACATTTTGAAAAATGGTATCATGATTTGATACCACACCTGAGCGTAAAGCTACGCTTGTGCAGACCCTCTCCCCTTCCTGTTTGGCTACGCTGCGCTTTGGTTACGCTCCATCCCCCTCGATGTTAAACGTTGCGTACGTAACAATAACACATATTATTGACGACCCCTAAGCTACCGACTAAGGCAACCCTGCTCATTATATTTGTTCTGCATGAATTCGCACGTCGCGAGCACGCAGCCAGACAGGCCCGGCTCCCAAGACCCCGTCTTGCTGCCCCCCCCCCTTCCGTGGGACCATCACGTTCGTGACGTGACCTGCGACGTCACATAGGACCAGGGCGGCGGAGCGGGCGCTCCGCCCGGCTCCAGCGCCGGAACACGTCCACGTTCGTGCCCCTGCCCAGAGTCGCGCCGCGTCCGAGGCGCACGGCCGCTGGACGAAACACACGGGAAAGGGCGAACATGTCGCCGCATACGTTATGCCGAAAATGCACCAGCGGTCCAAAGGCCCCATTGGCGTATACATCTGCCAAGCAGCAGCGGGGCGTTGGCTGAGATCGCTGTGTCGACATGGCTGCTGGTGCTGCTCCGCCTGTCCCGGCGGCGGTGCAGGGGTTTGTCGTCTCGCAGCGGGAGTGCAGGGCTCGGTCCCTGCGGGTTTGTAACGGGTCGGAACACGACAACCGGCGTGGAAGGTCGTGGCAAGGGTGCGTGTGACAGTCGTCTTGATAGTAAGTGCCACACACGTTTGGCAGACGAGACCCGCGTAAATGTTGACCCCGCTTTCTTTAAAGGGTATATCAAGTTAAACCCTCGCGATTCTCCATTCGTTGTGAACCCCTGTCAAGAATGATCAGAAGTGCTAGGGGCAAGCCGTGTTACAGCTGCGCGCTGTGATGCAGTCCTCTCACAAGGTTGTCATCCTGCAATGGTAGTCGCGACCTGTTTCCAGAGCTCGCCGAACGTCCCATCGGGCACCGATCCGTCGCCGCCAACATTTCTGTCGCCAAGAACATCAAAACAACGCATTCCCCATTCCCTCTCTTGGGATCACTCCACCGCAGTCGCTCAGGCGGAGTGACATCTTCGCGGCGGGGAGCAGGCGGATCAAAAGGCCGCTGGCCGCGCGCGTTCCCTGACCCGGTTGACCCCCGTCTCGCCGCCGTGCCCTGCTCCGCTCCAATCTCTCCGCCGGGCCGGCCGGCGCCCTGGACCTCTGACGTCACCAGATGCACCTGCGCGTCGCCACCACCGCCGGCGGGCGTTAT